TTGAAAACCCCCAGCACTTACCTGGCGGGGCGCGTCCCTGGCCGCTCCGGGGAGTCCCGCGCGGGGTGCAAGCATCACCAAGAGTGTTTTGGTTTTTTTTTTAGAAAGCCCAAAAGCAAAGGGTCCCTTCCTCCAGGTATGTATATAAGTTACTGTACTGTGTGGGAGGGTCACGATCTCACTAGGTGCAGAAGATTCCCCAGGATTAACCCCTCCTCTCCCTTCCCCTTCTGCAACTTGTTGAGGATTTTATACACACACGCGCGCAGGCACACACACACACACACACTCTCACACTCACACAGAGGCACACGGGCACACGCACACGCACACACACACACACGGACAGGAGAGCAAGGAGAAAGCGAGCTCCGCGGAGTCCGGCTGCCCCCCGACGCCGTTGTGATTGGATGGTCTTTTCATGGAGAGGGGACGTCTCAAGTCGAAGTCACGATTTCTCCTCAGTTTGGAACCATCTGTGACTGGAGCCATGACGCAGCCAGAGCACATTACTCACTTTTACAGTCACGACTTGGAAATCCGTGCAGTTTCCAACCAAAATTACACCGCCACCATTGAATTATTTAATAGGATCCAGTTAAGGGTAATCTTATGCATTGTGCCAAGAGAGGCAACGATCTAGGAGGGGAGGGCTGGGAAGGCGAGGGAGGGGGCGAGGAAGGAGGGCATTTCTTGTTTGTAATGACTGTTTTATAGAGATATATTAAGAGTTGCAATGATTGGCTACACGTGTTGTAAGGGGATTTTTTTTTCTTTAAAAAACCAAACAAACAAACTAGATGTCGGGTCCGCTTGTAAATACGACCACGCAAGCTCGGGGAAGGGACGGTTTAGGCATTAAGGGCAGCCGTGGGTGGAGTACCGTGCTGTGAATTCAGGCGCTGGTGTTTGATTAATTGCAAGAAATGATGTCTTTTGTGTGCCTAGATTAGAGCCATTGCATGCGGTCTTGGCCAGGAGGTGCTCTCACCCCCCGACCCAATGTGCTGTGCTATACTGGTGTTCATGGCTGCATCATGCCATTGTCTGCAGGATCCGCAATTGTTGCTGGGCTTTGTGTGGTAGGTGCACCATTTTCTAAGCTTGCTTTTGCTGCGAGGCTACGGCTAAACGTGCTGAGGGGAAGGCTGCTTCCTTGGCTATTGTCTGCCTTGTGCATTTTCCACCCCTTGCAGGTCTGAGTCTGCGGCTAAGCCCCCCTCCACGGCGGTTTCGGAGGGATACCATTGTGCGGGGTAACGGGGTGGTGCATGTCCGTGCCGGACGGTGTTCCCCTGTCTCTTTTAATGCAATCTGATGACATGTCTTTGCTAGCCGGAATGCCTGTGAACCTGCATGCTCACAGCCTAGCGAGAACTTCCCCGACTCCCAGAAGCGGTGAGGGGATGACGGGTGTTTGCAGCACCGAGGTAACCCTACAGATCTACTCCGTACACACCACAACAATCCCCCACTACTTCGCCTCTAATTCAGTCATTCCACCAACTCATCTGGTGAGGATATGACTAAGGACGCGAAGGACGGGCAATAATAAAAACAGACACTCGCACACACACGGTCTGCGGAAGGTGTGAGCGCTTGGAGGGGAGAAACGAGGTGGGAGGAGAAGGGGTGAGTCCAAATAAAGCAACCTATAGCCTCTTATTTTGCGGAGCACCATCATCAGGTACAGGCTCTTTCAAACGCACGGGCGGGAAGGGCAGGCGGAGGCGCGGCGGCGGCGGGGAAGCCTCCGCGGGAGAGGCGCTCCCG